GAATTGACTTTAACCCCTTTTTATGCACTATTTACTGAGTGTTTTAACAGTTTCACAGTAAACACCACATAATGGTATAGTGGATTGACAGTTTCAGCATCACATGCAATATTTAACCACTTTCGGGCTGCCTACCTGCAATGTACTGCGGACTGACCTCTATTGCTCATGCAATGCAAAGTGTTAAAAAAAAAAAAAATCCCTGATCACCCCGCCCCAGAATAATACAATGTACTATGGTAACATTGCAGAACTCTGATGAAAGTATTTGAAAAAATATTGTGAAAAAAAACTTAAAAAAAAAAGATTTAAAAAAATAATTGTGAAGTTTTTTTGAAAAAAAAATATTACTTTTTTTTATCTACTTGCCACCCGCCAACAATGTGCAAAGGGCAAAGCGACTTAATTGTACGTTGGTTTGAGTAAAAGCACTACATTTCACAGACCTAAGTTAGATTAGCACATTTAACCCTTTGATCGCCCCTATTAACCCTTTGATCACCCCGTCACCCAGCCAATGCCATTAGTACAGTGTTAGTGTATAGAATTTTTTACTGATCACTGTATTACTGCCACTAGTGACATCAGATAGCGTCAGGGTCAGTTAGCACCCCTCCCTGCCAGGGTCAGCTATCTTTAGATTGCCCGCACACTATCGCACTCATGCTATAGGTCGCAGATCACTGCCATTACTAGTATAGTGTTTGTACAGATCAAAATATTGATCATGAACAGAACTATACTAGTGCCTACTTTGTATAGTGTCCCAAATAATGCAGTGTTAGCAGGATCGGCCCTATTTGCTGCCAGCACTAGAGTTTAGCCCCTGTTTTTCACTGTAAATTTGTATCAATTGATTGTGGGCCAAAGCAATTTATATGCAATACATTGCCGCCCACCCAAATTCAGCTCTTGCCAGACAACTTGCATGGAAACCACACAAACACACACAATCGCAGTTTCTGAATGTAAAACCCTCAACATGGGCATTACAAAAAATAACAAATTGCGGTCATATTTGTCCACAGACCCGGTTCATCATATACCTATGCTCTCTGCTGTTATATATGCCCAACAAGAACCAGCAACATACTGGTACAGTGCTGGACTTTGAGTGGTTATACCAGGATGATGCCTGCAGCTACAGGAATCATCCTGGTATCGTTTTTTTTTTAGCTGGCAGTCGGCTTTCGTGTAAAAACAATCCTAGCCACTGGATCTTTGTTACAAGCAGCGGGAATGGATTCCCCTACCCCTCCGGCCTCCTTCCAAGGTTTTCTTGGGCTCTCCTGTTCCACCGGGGAAACCCAAAAATGTAGCCATCAGTTTCGCTGGCTGACAATAGAGCTGATCGGAGACTGGAATGCCTCCAATCATCTCTATGGTCAATTTTAAAGCATGTCATATTTGGTATTCATTTACTTGGTGTAACATCATCTCTTATATTTTATTAAACAATTGGGCAATATATTGTGTTTTTGTGCATTACAATTCTAAAACGTGCATTTTTTCCAAAAAAATTGCTTTTGAAAAATCGCTGCACAAATATGTGTGACAAAAAATTGCAGCACACACCATTTTATTTTTTAGGGCCTCTACTTTAAAAAAAATATATAATGTTTGGGGGGTTAATGTAATGTTCTAGCAAAAAAAAAAAACAGTTTAAGTAAACAAAAAGTGTCAGAAGGGGCTTGGTCTTCAAGTGGTTAGAAAAGTGGGTGATATTTGGCATAAGCTGCTAATGTTGGTCCTGAAATGCCAGGATAGTAGAAGCCCCCCCCCCCCCCACACACACACAATGATGCCTTTTTGGAAAGTAGACACTCCAAGATATTTGCTGAGAGGCATGGTGAGTATTTTGAAGATCTCATTTGTAGCCACATGTTTCTGGAAAATGAAGAAAGAAAACGAAAATGTATTTCTTCTTTTCTTTTTTTCAAAACCCTGTGACAAAAATGGGGTGTCTACTTTCCAAAAAGATGTAATTTGGGGGGGGGGGGGGGGTTGAGCAGATTAATGGTGGAGGATGTCTTTGCATCTTTGCACGGGAATTGATGACAGCTGCACATATTTTTTGTTATCCAAAGGAGGGTTCACTGAATGAACACTTTATTGAATAAACTTGATTCTTTTAATGACTTTTGTTTGATTCATACTTAAAAATATTCTTTATTTTTTATTTTTTGTGAGTTTTTTGTTTTTGATATACATATTGTTTATATGTATATATACATATATATATATATATATATATATATATAATTTTTTTTCTTCTAATATATATATATATATATATATATATATTTTTTTTTTTACACTTTGTTTTTTGGTTATATAATGGATTGTGCCATTGTTTCATGTAGTGCAGCATTTTTTCACTTCACATTATGATTGTATAATTTGACCCACTGAGACATGGGTTGTGTGCACTTGCGGCTACAGCATTTAATTGTAATTTTTTGTTTTCATTACTGCTATGGCTATTGATCAGCACTGTCTCTGATTAATTGATAGAGCAGATGCTCAGATGGGAGATCGTTTTTTTTTACTTCCATCTTACCTTCATTTTTATTGCTTTCATCTGACAGCCAACAGTTGGCTTGCCAGATTTACACACACTGCTGGCAAGCTGCAGCCACCGGGAGTGTGTGGAGAAACCCCCTCTGACTTACTATGTATGTCAGTGGCAGTAAAAGAGGCACTGAAAATAAATTAAACTTTTAATAGTGTCATTTCATTGTAATCAGGCAATGGCACCAATAAAATACTTTAAAGGCACTAGAATACACTGGAAAACTTTCATTCCTATAGCATAATTTAAAAAAAATATTAAAAGTTTGCTGCTTACCCTTTCTTGTTCTATTCTAAAAACTCAAAAAACTGAAGTTTTCTGCTGCTATGTTAAGGAGGGGACTGGTGAGTTATTGCTTACCATAATTAAATCTTTCTGTACTGTACTGGAAAGTCTCATTATCAGTTGGAAACTAGAGTTGAACACTGTCTGTCTTAACAATAGTTAAAGATCACAAAACAATAGTGCAGCGTTAAGATAAACTAAAATGTATGTGCAATGCAATAATGCAATGCAAATATATCAAACTTTTACAGCAGCTGTTTTTGGCTTTTGACATTTTTTTCTACAGCCAGTAAACCCCCCAGCATGTTATCCTATGTGTTCATATACACATAGACTGTAATCAACGTTTTTTGGCAGGGGTGTTTTTTGGCTGGAAAAAAAAACCCAGGACTAGTGGGTTTCTAGAGGAGTTTTTTTTTAGCTGTAAAAACGCTCTAGCATTGAAAAACGTGATAAAAACGCGGGAAACCACTGTAAACCACGGCAAACCAGCATTTTTGGACTTTTTCGACAAAACAAATGCTAAAAAAATGCAAACGCGAAAAAACACGGCACAACGCAGCTAAACGCTAATGCTAAAAAAATGCTGAAAAACACCTTTTTTAACGTGACTTTACACAGCTAATGTTACCAGCGTTATTAAAACGCCCCATGTGCACAGAGCCTCATGTGTCACCACAAATTGAAAAAATAAAGGAATCCAAATGTGAAGCTAAACACTGTGAATTCAGTGGTTCTTCGATTATGAGGGAAATGACCGATACTAAACGCCACCAAAACTTCTTAATGATGAACCACACAGTACCTTGGTGTACAATAAAGAGAGGCTTACCAGAATCATATGACTCCCAATTAAAAGTGGTCAACTGGCACTTATGTGTCAATCCAAGATATCCAGCTTTCCTCAAAACCACATGACAAACGATGGTACTGCTGCTTTATATCAGATCACTGTGCATATATACTCAGTTGAACATAGTATCATGAAAAAGAAAAAGGCACGCTCTCCATAGTGTATTCCCGAATAAAACACCAATTTAATGCACTTACAATGAAAAGATGACAATCAGGCACTTCATATCATATAAACAACTCGTATTTCAGAATGCAAGATGGCTGCAGCAGGATCACATATGCCTAGTGGCGTGTGTTCCGTCTCTGCGCCATAGCATGTTACTTTATCTTAGCGCTGCACTATTGTTTTGTGATGTTTATTATACTATCATGCTAGCTGCTATGCCCTAGGGCATTTTTTTTTTGTTCTCATTAATAGTTAAAGATGACAAGGCTTCAGTTCTGTATTGTATGTTCATGCACTTTCAACATTCTGTCGCCACTCTGTCCCTCCACTTTCACTTTGAAATTGTTCAGAATAGTTTACCATCTGTCCAAAGCCTGCCCCAAAGAAACAACTAAAAAGATATTAACACATAACAAACATATAGTGGATTTTTCTTAAATTTGGCTGTGAAAGTGGAAATACACTTTAAGCTTTTTTGTCACTTGCTTAAAATACAGTTAAAACTACAAGTCCACTTAAAGTGGTTGTAAACTGCAATATGAAAAAAAAAATCCCCTGGTAGGCAATGGCATAATGTGCTAGAATACATCGCATATTAGCACATTATGAAATACTAACCTTAGAACAAAGCCCTCCAGTGGTACGCTGTCACCTGACAGGGCTTCCATCTTTTTTCCAGCAGCTTGAATGGCCAAGCCGCAAAGACGTCACTCCTGTGTATGCTCACGAGTCATGGGCCACGGTACAGTGCTCTGAAAGAGCAGCACGGGTATGCTGTTCCTTGAAAGCACATGCTCCAGTGATATCACCAGCTGCCGAAAGAGCAAATATCTCCTAAATGTGTACTTAATGATAAGCTTACCTGTAAGTAAAAATCACCAAGGAGACTTTACTACCACTTTAAGATTACTCTGTCCACAATGTGAAAAAGCTACCATGTGATTTCACTGCAGGATGAACAGTGTTGTATCCTTGTTAATGGAAAAATAACAGATCAGCTGGCAAAAGAGTTACTAGGGGGACTTAGAAAAACAAAAACTGCTGTGTTATTAGTGACAACCTATAGCATTTATGTCTTTTTTGTCCATATTTCCACATGAAATGAAATTATTAGTGACTTACCTGGCTGTGGTTCTGGTTCCGGTGGCTCTGGAGGTTCCTCATCGCTGTCATTGTCACTTTCTGGCTTTGTTACAGGAGCTGGTAGTAGAATTTTAGAAGGTGGTTTCAGCGATTTCACTCGAATCCCTTGAGCCTCTGTAACATAAATAAGTTAGGTGCAAATTCCTAACAATGTTTAGAATTCCTAAACTTTTATGTGTTATGTTACTTACCCATCTTTTGGAAGAAGTCTCTCTTCTGCTGGAATGTTTTCCTCTGATATAAATACTCAGAGCCATCCATTTCATCCCAGTATACCTTAGAAACATATGTCATTATTATACTATACTGCCTATATTTCATAGATTGTATCAACATTTTACCATTTAAAAGTGGTTGTAAAACCTTACATATACCCAGTGAAATGACCAGTTCATACACAGAGGTGAAACAAATCTTCTACGTACGTTGTACCTATCGGTAGCAATTTCTCCTGTAGAGTCTTCTAAAACACGCATATCAAAGTATTTTTCACAGCAACACACAAGCAGGGACTGGGATCTGACACACACACACACACGCACACGCACACACACGCACACACACACACACACACACACACACACACACACACACACACACACACACACACACACACACACACACACACACACACACACACTGCAGAGCTAGGGAACAGAGCTGCTTGTAATTGGATAGCTGAGTGGTGGGAAGAGACACACCCCTGTACATAAGCTCAAAGAAAAACCTACAGAGCTGAGGCAGGGAGGATGATTTTCTAACGGCAAATATACTGTGTACTGCAAGTGCAGCCAGCAGTTGTGCTAGTTCTGAGGGGAAGCTCTGAAATGAGGTGAAGCTCTGTTGATTTCTATCATCCAATTATGTGCAAGCAAAAATCCATTTTTTTTAATATTCCTTGCATGTTCCTCTCAGATCTAGAGCAACTGCACTTATAGTGCACTTGCAGTGCACAGCCTATTTGCCTTTAGTAAATCAACCCCTATGAGTCACCTGTTGTGTGCTGAAAGAGGCAAGTTTTTTCCCGACAGGATGTTGTGTTGGCTTAGAGTGACCATTTGTGGTCACAGTGGATCAGAGATCAAAGAGGAACCACACTCTGTGCTTGGATTCAGGCTAGTACACATTATAGGACAATGTTCTCATGTTTTTCACTTAGTGAATGGTGGAGTTGGTATATCTAGAGCTAATTGTTATTTTTGTAGAAAATAAATAAATTGTGCTTTAGTCACACTACTTGGTCTTCCTTTTGAGGCTTCTTCATCTCTGTATTTTTGTATGGCTGTTTTAGTTGCAGAGAGCAGCACCAAATGTATTTTGGTGGTGAGTCGGTGAATCTGAGCTCATGTTGATGAGGGGTGGACCCTTCTTATCTTTTTGATTAAATCCCATGGTTTTATTTTATTATTGTGCACACTATAGAAGGATGTAATTTGTTAATTTTTCATGTCTGAGGTTTACAACCACTTAAAACACAGAAAACTCTTTCTAAATGGTCCTCTGAATGTTCCTTTTTTATTGAGTGACATTATGAACCAGAACTTCACTGATGGCTGATGGTGTTGTCTTATTCAGCAGTAGTGACTTTGCTCCATGTCCTGTATGTCACGGTATGGAATAATAAAGAGATACTGCTTGAGAGGGTATGCCAGATTGGAGAATTTCCAGAATTGTTCAAGTGAGGAAAGAACTTACCCTATAATTAAAGTGTTACTAAACCCAGGAGCCTGCATTCAGTATATCTGGTCTCCCACAGTACACAGAACATGGAAGTGCAATTATTTTAGTAAATACTGTACCTTTTCACATTAGCAGTTATAGCAGTCTTGTGACTTCTATCAGTGTCCAGCAGAGCACTGGTTAAATCCTGTAGGAGGAGTTTTCATTTTGCTCTAGGTGAATGCAGAACCCCTGACCTATGTCTGAACAGTGCTGATTGGCCCTGTGCTAATCACATGCACTCTCCAAAGAAAAAAAAAACTATCTAGCAATACACAACAAACTGAGCATGTGCATATTGACTCCACAAGATGTCTTATCAGGAGATAAGTGGGGGACACTGGAAGAAGGGGAGGATCAGAGAAGTCAGGATCAAACAGCGTTTTTACACAATGCACAGGATTAATCACTTAGGTTCCACAGTGAGTATAACAAGCAACGCTTTAGTGCATATGCAGACTGATTTTACAGTTGTGTGTTTAGTAACACTTCAAGTTGTTCCCACAGTGACTTAGAATACTGCAAAATCTCACTCTCCTACACTATGCACTGCCCCCTGTCTCAATAACAGGCAGTGTGACCTGGCACCAAGAAAGGTCATAGCTTTCTGAATTACAGAGAAGTCAAGGTCCCATAAACCTAGGAAGTAGGTAACTGATTATAAAGTAAGCACAGGTACTTGCTTGTTCATTTACTGAAATGTTAGTTTATAAACTTTGGTAGGCTAGATTTGTTCACTTTAAATATGGGTCTGATTTAAGCCCCGATCGTCCAACTTACACATCATATTCAGCATTTTCCCTTTAAACACTGCTGGTTAATTTTATATTATTCATAAATTACCTCCCTGTGCCTTTCTGGATCATGATCCTTTGAAGTTTGGAGCAGAGGGGGTGTGGACGGTGTTGAAGAAGGTGGAGGTGCAGCAGGTGTAGCAGGCGGTGGAGGTGCCGCAGGAGCAGCAGGAGGTGGAGGTGCAGCAACAGGCAAAGGAGGTGGAGCAGCTGGAGGTGACTTAGGAGCTGTAGGTGGGATTGGTGTTGACTTTGACCCTTGAGGGGAAACTGGTGATGGTTTAGGAACGATCTTAGGAGGAGGTTTTGGAGTTGGACGGGGAGAACGGTCTCTGTTTCTTTGTGGAGGATCCTGGCGAGCTTGCTGCTGCTGGGACAACATTGTGGCCTGAAGTGTCATTTGTTGGGCCTAGAGAGAAATGATAAAACAGTACTTGAAAGAAATACAGCATATTCTAGAACAAAGGCAACAAAATGGTAAACATTTTTTGAGGCCAGAAAAAGTGCAAAGAAGACATGACCCAGCAAAACAAGATACATACCAAAAGCAAGGCCTGCTGCTGAATAAATGCTTGTTGGGCAGCTACTTGCGCAGGGTCCACAGCAGGCATCATTGGCTGTCCCATGGGCAATGGCTGAGCCATCATTTGAGGCATCATTGCTTGAGGCATCATAGGCTGGGGCATCATACCTATAAGCAATCAGAGCAAATAGTTATTTGTGGCATAAATGCAAATATGTTTCAGTTTTGATACTAGTTCCTTAGGCCTAGAAAGTTAACTCTGCTTAACTGCATAACACAAAACACACCACTATTCATTTAATTTATTTAGAAGATTGGAATAAAAGAGTTACAATATGTTGAACAGGATTGCAGTGATGGGGGATATATTTCCCTATGATTTGGGTTGTTTTCCCTTTAGGGGAGAGCTCAAAAGACATTGTTAGTACTCAGCGGTTCTCACCCATCCAGGGAGAAAGGTTCTGGGGTAGTCTGCTTGGAGAGGAGAGGACTGATTTTCAGTACTTTCTGGACTGGCAAGTTCTCATTAGGGACCCAGGAATTTGAAGGTTTGGAGAGACCTTTGGACTGGAATGAACCTCCAAACCCTGATTACAGGGACTTTGGTAATGAAGGACCCACCTGTAAAGGAGGCTTGAAAGGCAGCAGGAAGGAAGCAATACCTGTTGGTGACGTAGAGTATGAGGCAGATCACAGCTGTGGGAAGTGTGGTCTGTCCAGTAGGTACTGAGGTAGTGTTTGCTGAGCTTCTGCGGCCCTGCAGCATCCCAAAACAGGCAGGAATTTTAAAACCCCAGTGTGAGATTGGAGTACTGGGGTGAGCTGTTCATTTTCATTACACTAGAATTATGCACCATTTTTGTTTGTTTTGCTAAAGGAAGCTATTTTAGTTTGGTTTTCCCTTGCTGAGGACAAAGCTGATTTCTGTTTGCCTGACTTTGAAAATAAAAGAACTATTTGCTTTTATCAATACAGCTGGCTGATGATCTTGGACTATCAAATACTGTATAACAACATATACTTACCGTCTGTCTGCTTGAAAAACACGTTTTTTAAGTCCGCAAACGTGCAAACTACAACGAAAAACCCGTAAGTGTTCACAAAAAAGTGCAAGTGCAAAACACCACACAAAAAGTGCACTTAGGGGTGTGCTTTGTCCTACCCCCGAAGGGGTTGGACCACTACCCTGATCCCCCGGGGCACGAAGCTCCTGACGGGGACAAGGTTCCCATTTGGTCCTCCTAGCCAAAAGGCCTGGTGGACCACCGTTCCTTGTGTCCAGCCGAAGCCGGACACCCAGTACTTGGTCAGGGGGCTCTTCCGAAGAGAAAACCCCCTAGGGACCACTAGAACAACTGAATATCCTATAAAAATACCTCCCCCCTCACCAAATAACAATGACCTGTCTAGGGAACTGGCTGCTTAGGTTTCAACACTGCTTTGTGAGAGGAAACAAAAGTTCTAGTTCCTGGGATTTTTCACCAGTGCTCTGCAAGGGGATAACAGGACAAACCTGAAAAATTAAAAGAAAGCTGTAGTTGTTTATTGAGTCCCTATGTAAAATCTTCTGTTCCATGTCACTACACACCTATGCTCTATGAATAATGCATTTAGTAGGGACACCACTGAGCCTGTGCCCTCTCCACTAGTCCAACATGCCTCACTCCCAGTGACAAAATGGGGTCGCGTCATGCACTAACATGGACCTCATGTGTGCACATAATCAACTCTTTCTCTCTCCGTACCATGTCGTTAGATACATGAGGTCTCAGTATAGTGGGTTCAGTCAAAGTTACTTTTGGAGGGAACTGGCCGCTAGGGAGGGTGCCAGGATACCAACCTCTTGCTACCGGAGGACCTGTCACTTATGCCAGGTAATACTGCTTGTCCTCCATTAGGATGTGACTTGTTGACACTGTAGTGCCATGTACTTCATATCCCTCTAATGCTTAAACAGGTCCAGGTTATTTGTATACGATATCTACATTATGCACCCCTTTAGTAACTTTAGACCAGGCTTAGGGCAAGTTTAACAGTCTTTACTGAACTTAATTAACGACATGATGACAGTCACAAAGGAAGCTAATTCTGATATTCCCAAACTACTAAGGGCCCAGGTATACAGTTGCAAGAAAAAGTATGTGAACCCCTTGGGATTACGTGGAGTTTTGCATGAATTGGGCATAAAATGTGCTCTGAACGTCATCTAAGTCACAACAATAGAAGAACAGTCTGCTGAACATAATACTACACAAACATTAGATGTTGCCATGGTTTAATTGCACATAACATGTAAACATTCACAGTCCAGGGAGGAAAAAGTATGTGAAGCCCTAGCTTATTGACTTCTCCCAGAGCTAATTGGAGCCAGGAGTGAGCCAACCTTGACTCCAATCAGTGT